GTACTTTTTGTGTCAACTCAAAATGTATAAAAAGAATGCACTTTTGACCTGAATAAACTTAATTTTTTGTTTGAGTTCAATAAATATCTTTTTTTAAGTTCACTATTTAATTGAAATCATTCATAATTTCATTAAGACCTTTACAATTGGTAATATTGCTAATAATAAATAATTTTTTATAAATAAAAGTTTGATTAATAACTGTTCTAGTTTTTTAAAAAAAAAAATTAAATAGAAATTATTATTATTAAATTAAAACATTTTGTTTATTATATTATAAGATCTATAGAAATAGTTGATTATATTAAAACTTATTTTATTTTTTCAAGTATATGAGATTTTTACAGATTTTAAAAATAGGTTTCTAAATTATTTAATATATATAAGATTTACAGATTAATTATGTCTCTTTTAAAGAAATATAATTATTTATTCATTATTTTAATAAGAATATAATTAAAAAAAGCATTTGAATCAAGTAGTCTAAATTGCAAAAAACCTTTGTAAATAGTTTTTATTTTATTTTATATTTTTATTATAAAAAATATTTAATTATTTGCTAATATATAAAGAAAAAAACCAATTTTTTGAATTTTAAAACATGTTATAAAATAAAATTCAATAGTAATTAATATATTAAATAAATAAATAAAAAATTAAAATTATTTTTAACAAAAGATATTATTAATATCAATATTGAGCTTTTTTTAAAAAAAAAAGTTTTATAAAATAAATTAATATTTTTTATTAGTTAAATTTTGTTAAAAAATTTATAATTTGAAATATTAAAGAATTTCTAATTACAAGTTATATTTTAATAAAAAAAAAATAAATTTTATTTAAAAATATTTAAATTTATTTATATTATACAATAGATCTAAATTATAATAATAATAATAATAATAAGTTAAATTTTTAAAAAATATTAATATAGTAAAAATAGAAAAAAAATTATTAAATTTAATAAAAGTAATTATATAATATTATTCCTTAATCTGTAAGCATTTCTAAACAAATTTGTTTAGAAAATTAATAAAAATATATTTATAATTTTGTTTTGTTTATATTTTTAAATATTTAAATAAAAAATTTTTAATAATATTTGAAAATAAGGATTAAATTATAGCAATATTTGATATTATATTATAAAAAAATTTTTTTAAGTACTTACAAGATAAAAATAGATCAAAATTTTAAAAGTTAATTTTATATATTGTATAAAAATAATAATAATAATTAATTGATCCTATATTACATATCAAATAAATATTAAGTAACAAAAAAACAATAATTTAATTAAATTTATATATTTGATTAATAATTTGAACACATTTTTTTTCTTTTGATAATATTGTTTATTACACTTAATTTTATTTAATGAAAAAACCATATCAAATCTCTATTAATTATATACAATATAATGTTTTTATTTTATAAAATAAAAAATATTTTGTAATTGTTGAATATTATAAAAAAAAAATGAAATGATAATAATAATAAAGGAATTATAGCATATTATTTTGCCATTATAATTTTTTAATATTTAAAAGAATCAATACCATTGGTATGAACTAACACATGTTTCCAAGTTTAGTCAAACATATTGACATAGCACGGGAATTAATGGTGACTTTGAAACTTTCGTCTGACAATTTCACAAAAGTTGCATTCTGTAAGATCAAATCTTAATTCGGTGCACTAATTTTATCCGTAAAAAAATCGTAAATGTGTTATGCGCAAACATTACACGTACCCAGCCTCGAGAACTTGTTTGCTTATGCAGCACCCCTGGAATTTCTATGAGGTTGATCATGTGATCAAGATTACGCACTTATTGAAATTAGCTTAATTGGTTATTACCGCGAACTTTAGAAACATAAGGGTTTTTTTTTTTACTACTATTCTCGAAGAATTTGAGCAAAGACAACTACAATGAAGCAATCAAAAATAAAACTTTAATTAGAAAGTTCAATTAATTATTTCCTTATTGAGAAGCTGCTACGAGGACCGCATACGTTTGTTACAAACAAACATCAATCCAGAGTTCCATGTGAAATGTTTCACTTCCAGGAGTTTCTTAATCAAGTAACATTCTGAGAAAGGTGAACACAGGTACACAACTAATAATAGAAGATAAACTCGTCAAGTTTAATTAATAATAACGAATAGAAATTTACGACGTACAGCCCTTTAAGGATAGAATGTGAATTGTCGATATAAATTCGTCACTCTCCAATTTTTTTTTTTTGATAACCGAAATTTCACGTTGGAAACTTCACATTCTTTTATTTTATATGCCAAAAACATGGGTAATAGACTTTCAAATCCAGGAAATGGCCCACGTAGGATAAGAGATTATGTTATCGACGAAGGGGAAATTGATAGACTACAGGTCCAACATCACATTTTTCGCACACTATGGGAAGGCAATTTTAAAGCACCTGTAGAAGAAATACTCAACTCAGGTAATGCAAGGGTATTAGACGTTGGGTAAGTTTTAGTAATAATATTATCTACATCGCTCACCCGGTATACAGTACCAACGACATCCTAATTTCCAATTTCAACTCCTAAAATCAGATGCGGAACAGGAACTTGGGCGTGTGATGTCATTTCGGATTTCCCAATGTGTCATATCACAGGAATCGACAGAAGTGAGCTTCTGTTTCCATACCAACCACCTCAAAACGTGAGATTTCAATGTGTGGATAGTTACCTCAAGGGTTTGTCCGCTTTCAATGATAACTCATTTGATTATCTGCACATGAGACTTTGTTGGTCTCATTTTACGCGCGATCAGTGGCGCAACACTATATTATTGGAGTTAGCAAGAGTGATTAAGCCTGGTGGATGGTTGGAGGTATGTATTTAAAGGTCAACCGAGTGTTCTTCATTCATTACGCTAATTCTTTGTGTGCATAGATTGTAGATTTTTCAGTGGATGCACAAAACATGGGTCCGGCAACGGCACAATTCGTGCAAACAAGTAATCTAGTCATTATTTCCTCTATACTTTTATGTATTCCAAAGTTACATGCTTTAACGTCTTATTTTCAAAAATCTCAATTGAACTTATTTAGTATTAGAACAATCTCGGTTACAAAACCTTGATCATCAAATAATTCCCAGTCTTCCAAACTTACTACGATCCATTCCAAGCCTTTCTCCACAAGTCCACCACCAAATAAGATTGTTGCCTTGCGGATCATGGGACGTCGGTCTCGGGACTTGTTATGAGAATATATCGAGATCTACTTTGTCAAAATCTATTGAAAACTTACCCCCCGAAAAGGCACAAGAATATAGAGAAATGTTTGAAAATATATTAGAGGAAATCCGCCTGTATCGAACCTCTGCAATATGTCACAGAATTTTTGTACAAAAAGGTACAAATAATAGTTCAAACATTGCTGTATAGCATTTATTGTAACATAATCTCACATAAGTTAGCTATACCAGCAAGTGAATCAACAAATTTTCTGTAATATAAGATATATTGAACATCACTACACAGAACGACGGTGTCACTAACAAAGAACGCATGAACTAATGCTAGAATGTAGATTTTGTGTACTCATATATTATTCTTCTCAAAATCGTTAAATAAAAAGAGGCTAGTATGTTTGTATTTCAATACCCATTTATAGATTATTTGTAACGAAAATTCATAACTTTCTGCAGTTGTGAAAAAAAAAGGAAAAAAATGGGTAAGGAGTAAACTCATATGAGAACATTCCTGCTTTCGTGAGGGGTTAAAGAGCCCTATCGACTATCGGGAGTCACGATAACTGAAAAAAAAAACCATCTTAGATCTGTCCAAAATAGGAAGTCTGATTTTTTTGTTTTCAACGCTCGCTCCCACTTGATAATGCACGGAGCTCAAGCAACTATGCACTGCTGAAGTACAGCCATTATGAAAAAAAAAAAGTGTCGAATTTTCTGCATAAGCCATTGGCTGTGATCTTTGTTCAACGAGATTCTCTTTATTAAAAATTAATTTCGTAGATCGATAAATTTCGTCATTGTGTGTAGTATGTGGTGTAACACTGGCTCCACTAGATTTTCGCATTAATTGAGGTAAAACTTTAGCTAATACTTGGTGTTAACAGCATAAGTGTTTATATGGTATAACCAACTTTGATAAATATTAAATATCAAAACAATTTCAAGTCATATTAAATACAGTATTTGTATTACCATATTTTTCTTTTTACTTTTAATAGTTTTCAATTTTATTTTCAATTATAACTGTATAGACTATAATTATATCACTTAGTATTTGCATTTATCTTATTAAAGATAAGATGTTTATAGTCTATATATCAGATGCTATATACTGTAAATTGCATTTGTATTATTGATTGAAAATCATTGAGACATACTGTATATCAATATGGCATATGTTTTGTATTTGTCTTGTTATTCAAATAACGTACATTTGCATTTGTTTTATTAAAGATAAGATATTTATAGTTTATATATCAGATGCAATATAAGTTATATTTATATTGTAAATTGCAAATTATTAAAATATACATCAATATACATATTATTGAAATTTATAGATTCTTGATACAATTGATACAATTATTTAATGCAATTAATTGAGTTACTATTAAAACATAATATAATTATTTTTAAAAAATTTAAGAATTGAATCAATAGCAAATAATTTATATCACATGTATATATATATTAATATAGCATACATTTTATATTTTAGATTATACTCAAATAATATACATTTTGCTTTTTATAATATGTATCAAGATAATATACTTTGTATATTAAATTACATATAATATAATGTATACTAGTTTAGTAATTATAATTTATTGATTTACATAAACAAAAAAATATATATTTGATAATACAATTAATTATATATTATTATTGTACAAGCTAATACTATTAAATATACAATATTATTAAACATATATATAATTGCTATCAATATATATATCACAAAGTTTTTTTATAAGTAAATATTATTAGGAATTAAATATTTTGTAATAAAACTTTATCTGACCATAATGAATAACAATGATAACACTTTACTTAAAACAAGAAGCAAATGATTAATTTTAATTAAAGATTTTTTAGATTAAATAAAGATTAACAAGAAGGTATAAGGAGTATAGATTGATTACAAACTTTTTTAAAAATTAAATGGATTTTTAGAACAATAAATAGTTTTTTCTTTTTATAATTTTCATAAATATATTCTATAAATTTTAAGAGGATTTTTTTTACAAAATTATTATAAGTATTCATATTAAATATATATATCCATTATTATTATTTTTTTTTTTGATTTTAATAAATATAATTAGAGTCAATAAAATATAACTAGTTTGTGACTAATTATCTTTAGATAATTTTCTAAGTTCCTGTTTATTGAATAGTGAATAAAAACTTAGAGATATACTGTATATCTTGGCAAATTAG